CTTAGCAGGCTGACAGAATCACTCAGCTACTGGCTCTGACCTGGCACTCAGCTCCCTGTGGGGCAGGGCTACACACACACATACACACGCATATACACATCACCACCACCAGAGAAGAGAAAAGAAAGAGAAGATCCCATGACAAACCACAAACAAGTACGTTTGTTCGGGTCTTGTAAGCATGTCTCATTGTGTAATATATTGTATGCAGTCTGAGAGGAAGCCATAACGCAAAGATGTGATGACAGTGAGCGTGCATGTAACCTACACTAACTTAACAATAGAGTTGTGTGAGAGAGGAGCAATGAGATGACAGCGACATAGAGCATCAGTGTATATAAGCACGAAAGATCAAATGTCAGACTGGAATGCTCCACAGTCAATGTTTACCTGTTTCATGAAAGTTCTGTAAAATCGATTAAAGCGAAAATGTATTCAAATGAAGAAAAACTTGGCAAGATAATCATTCTGTATGATGTTTAAGACAGAATAACAAATTCTTATCCTTTACTGTCCTGTGAAGGTGAATATGTTTTGTACATCTGTGAGCAATAAAGAGCTGCAGTGCCCAATGTAAACACAAGCTATTCTCCTGTGTTTACATTTCCCATTGTAGTTATATGCTCTATTCTTCTTATTTTCAACTGTATTACGTACTAAAAGCTCTAATAGATGTCTAAAGCCAGTTCAAGCCTGTATAAGAACTCACTTCTGAATTAAATGTGAGGATGAAAACAGTTATTGAACCGATCCTTGATTACTCTTAGTTATTTTTCTCTCACTTTCTCTCTCTCTCACTCTCTTTCTAACACACAGACACACACACATACATGCATACACACACAAAAGCCTCAGTCATGCACATTGAGAAATTGTGACCTATATGTATAACCTTTCTATTTTCATCCAGAGTTGTGCCCCATTGAAACAACTTGCGGTGCGAGTGGTTTCTGGGGGTACACTGGGATAGAACTGGCAGTGAGAGAAGGGGGAGCCGGTAACTCTGTGGCATCGACCCGTCTCTCTGATCCAGTCCAGACTGTTTGCGACGTCACGGTGCGGTGTCCTGCCCTCTTTCTCTAAAACACACAACCACAATCCCAAATAGCTCTAAATGCAGCTCTGCGGAGCACTCTTATTTTGGCCCTGTTGACGCTTTATGAGAGTTTTACAGTAAGAGCCGGGGAATGGAACAAGTTCGACTTTGGCTTGAAGAGATGAGCTTTGCCAGAGCTGTTGCACTGACAGCTCATGTATTCTCTTTTCTGAGGCTTTAAAGCACAAAGCTGGCCAGCACTGATCAATAGAGAGTTTGTGTTTTTATGGAATTGTTTTTCTATTGTGAAAGTTTTACGGTGCTCAAGGTGGAGTCTACTGGCATCTGTGCCAGAATTCATCCAACCATGATGTAGTGTGGTAAAAAAAAAAAGGGATAGGCCAGAGTTCAAGCTGAGGTTTTGTTTCACAGATGGTAGAGTGTGGTGTAAATGTATTACATCAATATGTGTATCCTGGTATATTGCAGTTACAGAAGAACATTAGTTCAGCCTTTTCCACTGCTAGAAAAGAATCAACAAAATATTTATGAATCTACAGGGCTGTGGTCAGCATATCTGGCTTCAGCAGAGGGAGGTTGCCTTATATCAACCAGCTGCTTTGTTTTAGGAAAACACAACTTGTCACGTAATCGTCCTGAAGAACCTCTGAGGAATTTTAATGCAGGGGAAGAAGAATAGAGTAAAACCACTTGATAAGCCGGGTGAACCTCAGTTTTTATCCAGCCTGCTCCATTCATCATCATAATTATCACCTTTGCATGAATACAAAAACACACATGCACGCACACAGATGCAATAAATGCTTGGGTTATTTGCATATTTAAACATTTTGAAACCTTCGATGTTCCTTTTGGGGAAAAAAACATTTCTGTAAACATTTGTTTCTATTTATTCTAAAAAAGGACAAATATATGAGAGCAAAGTGAGATGGATGGAGGAATGCTCATTTAGACAGGTTGCTGTTTTCTCAGATAAACTGTAAAGAGCGGATGACAAAGAGGTAGCAGAGGTTTACACTAGCTTAAAATATCTGCCAAGCACCTCTTTCTCTAAGTGTGCGTGCACTTATGAAGCTACAAAGTGTTCTTGCGGTGAATGCTTAATTGTGTGTGCAAAATCCAAATCACCTTATCACCCTGTGACCACAGCCAAAAAAAGACGGTGTTGTTCTCTGCAGAACAGGCGTATAAATATTTACACAGTTGCCCGCACTATGTGTCAAACTGTAGGTGGGAGCAGGGAAAGAGGCAGGCGGAGAAAGGCCTGCCAAGATCAGACTTCCCAAGTATTTTGTTTGAACATTTGCAAGTATCCGTGCCCCTTCCTCTGACTGAGTGTGTCAGGTAAGTCATACCTGTGCACCTGTGGGTTTCAGGTTTCCTCGCCTGCTGTATCAGCCTGCTGTGCACCTGGATTTCTGTTTACGCTACTGCTGGAGGAGTCCTGCTGGTATGAAGTCAGTCACTCACATCTAAGGAGGTTCATCCAGCACGTGCAAGTAGTTTCTCACCTTCATAAGAAATCCAGAGTTGAGGGGTCATTAAATATCCCTATAAACCCTGCTGCTGACAGAAGGTTCAAATATGTAAAAAGCTCTTGCTGGCCTTGGTCTCCTGTGAGACTTTTTTAACTTTTTACACTCTCCCTATTTGCGAACTTTGTATCTTTCTCTCCTGCTTTTCCTTATTGGCCTACGTGACACCAATCAGAAATGTAAACACTTGTCATGATGTAACAGATTTTGTGCAAGTGGGTGCACATGCAAGTGCACAGACGCATACACACAGGGCCAATTGACAGGGTCACATATGGGATGTGCTCCTAAAGTCAGTATCATTTTACCAATGTAAATATTAGTCAATGTCAGAACCGTTTACACTGTAATGGCAGTCCTTCAGCTCTACTTTCCTTAAAGCACTTTCTCTCTGCTGCTTTCCCTCGGGCCTCTCCTCTCACAACCCCTCTCCTTATTATTTCCCTCTCATCCAGCCCTCATGTAATCCCCCGTCTCTCATTACCCAATCTTCTCTCCTTTTCTCTGCATCTCCTCTTGAGCTCCAGCAGTCTTTGTCAAGGCCCAGTCATCTTCCAGACAGCCCCATTCCCCCTCACTAAAAATTCCCCTCTTCTTATTCTCCTGACACAATATGATTAATCATTCCATTAACTGATCCACCATCATTGGATTGTTCAGGGGGCGCTTATAATACTGTACAACCTCAACCACCCTCTTGAGAGACACCCAATCTTCAGGCCATCTTCCAAAGCTCTCAAGAAAACTCTCCTTGTCTTTGTTCACTACACGCCTAAAACAGCTGTCATACAATGTGAGTTTGACTGTCACTAAATCTGCCCAAGGGTGAGGAGACTGAATGAAGAAATGTAAACTGGTTTAGAAAAACCCTAAAATTCTTTAAGTAAGTAAAAACAAGGAGAAGTTATTTTATTGTGGTGAATCAGTCAATCTTATATCTAATCTAATATTAAAGATAAACGTATGTAGTAATGTATACATAGAAAGAGAAAGGTTTATGTCAGGAGATTTTAAAATAACTTGAGTCAAAGGCACCGACAAACAAAACTTTGAAAATTATGACACTTGAATAATAACGAATACTATAAGTAAATACTTCTCTGCTGGTTTTACATTTGATATTTATTGAAACAAAGTAGAGCATTGAGCCAATTTGTAAAAAGTAACAAAATATCAGCTATAACACATTATGTTTAACAAACCTCAAATTCATGGAGAAGCTTATAAATATACATGGTTGGATTGGTAGAAATAGTTTGTCTATTGAAAATCATCACAGGGATATTGAGCAGTTATCTGAGTGGTACTGGAAATCTGTGGCAATGATCAAATCTGAACATATGTGATATATATATATATATATTTGTGTGTAACAGTAAAGCTGAACATGAGTGAGAAGAAAGAATCTGTGATTTGAAACAATAAGGTGCATTTCCCTTTACAAAAACAGTGAAGAGCCGCATTAGTGAGAACAACATTTTAAAAAGTGACTTCAAAACTTGGGGATGTCCGGCTTAATATTGATCTATGATGGAGATGATGGTTTTTTGCTTAAAAGGATGATCTGGTTAAAGAAAATAAATACAGTTTACTGATTGGTTGGATAGACATACTATATACACAGAGCATGGAATATTTCACCACTGTAACCACAACATTGCCCATATATATTCAAACCATGTTAAGTATTGTAGAATAATGTTAAACGGATAATCTGAATTAATATGGAAAAGTAGGCTATAATATTGATATATTTGCTGATGCACTGTAGTAAAAAAACAGCTGAACAGACACATACAGACAGGTTTAAGCGTCTGTATCAAAGTGCATAATGGTGGAGGGCGTGTTGCAGCACCTGGGGAACAGCTTAATAAATGGCCCAATCCCCAAAACAGCCCTCTTATTGTACCCATTGTACTCCTCGTAGGACTCGTATGAACCAACAGTGTTCCTTACTCTATATGTGGTGAGAGGGGACGAGTAGACTTCGGTAAGGATGTGAAGGCTGGTTTGGGACTGGGCCCATGAAAACACATCCACACACTACAGCACACAGGCGTTCTCCTCTCAACACAGTCATTCTCAAACAACAGACCAGGATCTCTTAGTCAACTATGCCACAAATATGAAATTCTCTTGTTTGGAAATGGGAAGCACAGTCCAATTTTGCAAACAGTGGGACCCATCTGACAAGAAAAATTTTATATTTTGAAATTAAAAAAAGGGTTAGGTGGTGGTGGGGGCGGGGGGAGATTTCCAGCCAGTTTTAGGCACTTGAAGGGGTTAAAATCGGCCGGTGATGACTGGGCCAAAATAAAACATAACAATCTCAAATAAATATTTCACGATACTCTCAGTTTCTGAAGACATAAGATTTTTTTTTTTGAAAAAAAAAAAAAAAAAAAAAAAAAAAAAAAAAAAAAAGAGTCAGTCTTTTTGCAATGGCATAATTGTTTAACTCTATAAATATAATTTATATAGTTTCTTTCTTCCATTCTCTCTCTGTGTTCAACTCCTTTGCTCCTCTGCTCGTGAATACACACAGATGTATGCCCATCGTCTGCAAGCAAACACACACAGGCAACACTCCTCTTCTCACTTGCAGACGAATTGGTCTACGATTTTGGTGCAGCGCTTGCACTTGACGTAGCAGCACCAGTGGAACTTGCAGTGGCAGCGCTCCACTATCTGGGCCTTGTACTGGTCGTAACCGCGGCCGCAGCACATCAGCTCACACCCATCCATGCCCTCTGAGGTCTTGTTGCAAAGGCGCCCCACTGTGCCCAGGGAGCCTGTGCTTTGGTTCTTCAGGCAGTAGTCTGGACTGGACTCAATGTACACCAGGTCATGGCTCGTGGGAGCGTTGAACTTGCTGTGCATCTGCACCAACTTCCCACGTGTGTTGAGCTTCATGGCAGCAGCGCTGTCGTACTTTTCCTTCAGCGCATCGCCCACCTTGCGAAAGTCAGCCAGCTGCAGCCAGCAAGTCTTCAGACTGCAGGAGCCTGACACCCCATGGCACTTGCAGGACACGTGGGCAAGGTCTGACACCGTCTGAGAATGGGAGAGCAAAGACTAGATGAAGAACTTACAAAAACATTTATTCTAATGTGGCAAATGACAGAAAATGCCAAAGTGCTTCATATTTCTAATTCGACCAGTCTGCGTAAATATTTGCACAATGTCCTACTCATGATCTCATAAGGCATTACTTTGCAATAAAGGACCAAATGATCCTGTCCATGTCTCCAATAGTGCATTAAATAAAATGTTGTCCACTCATTTGTCCTACTTGAAAGAAAACAGCCTGGCAACAGATATCTGGCATTACGTTTCCTTTGAGGTGATTTCAAGATGTTTGGAAAGGAAAAGAAACCCCAGAGCTGCCTCCAATGACTCCATCTCCCCACAGATCAAAGCCTCAGGAGGGGAGAGCTGACAGAGCTGTTACACAGATGATCAGCGGAGACCTGATCTGATTGACCTGGATTGTCTCACTTCCAACTGCTGCGTGTGTGCGTGTGCGTGTGTGTGTGTCCGTGTGTGTCTTACCCTCCTTCCAGCCTCGTTATTGTGAAGATTCATTAACAGCCGGGCGCTCTCATATGAGCCTTTAGGGTAGCTCTTTTCCCTCTCGCGTGCGTCAACAAACTCCTTGGAGAACCTGTAGCCGTAGTTGAGGTTGTCTCCGCAGCCACCCCACAGCCAGTCTCGTGGCAGATCTTTGGGGCGAGCTGCACGACTGCACCCACAGCTGGAGAGTTCCCCCTCTCTGCAGGCACGGCTCACCGCGTTCACCACCCCTGCTGCGCTGATGGCATAAGTGAACGCCGTTTCTCGGCTGCCTGCAGACATGAAAACAGGAACATCATGTCACTTTTGACACAATAAGAAAATTAGAAATGTCTAAAAGCACATTTGTCATTTGGCATATCCATCCACCACTTTCATTTTTGTAGGATATGTATATATTTATTTTATACTGAATGTGTGTCACTGTCATTTTGCTTTAGGAACTTTTACAGTGTTATGAGATGTGATATCATATGACAGCATTCACCATACATTTAAGATTACAGAAAACTTCAGCCAAGTGCTGCAGGCTCCTCATCACCATCATGTTGAATGGTGGAATCTGATTTGCTGTTATTGGGCTTCAGCCAGAGAGAAGAGAGCGCCCTCAAGTGACAGAGATCCTCCTTAACAAGCAGTCTCCATCTCGCCCAAATTGGAAGTGACAACAACTCTTTTACTTTATCTGTCATGACTGAGTGATTCTGGAGCCATTGCTCATTAACTACTGCTGTTTCTACCCTCAACATTTCCTCTATAGAGACAAGAGTGAGAGGGAGTCTTAAAAAATGCACGTAAGCAGTTTTTTGCCGTCACCAAATGCTCAATCCATTACTACCACTGTACAAAGCCACAGACTAGAGGAGAAAACCGAGATGAGGAGATAAGCAACTATAGAAGAAACAGCCGACCAAACTATGAGGCTGTGTGTTGACATTGAAGACGAGGGCTGCTACAAAATAAAAATGCACAGCTCATATACCTGGTGGGCCAAACCTTTAGAGAGCATGCTATAATGACAATAACAGATGAACAGAGAATGGGAGATGAGGGAGCAGAAAGAAAAGACGACTAAAGAGATAAGTCAAGACTTTGACAGAAAAAAAGAAAGCAAAATGGAAAAGGAGACACACACATGCACTTAATATCACTAAAGGTAGTAAAAGACAATGACGGAGAAGAGAAAATAATCAAGAATCCATTTGGAAAGTCTGAAAGATGTTCAGGTGGGGAACTCTGGCAGGACCAGAGGTGATCAGAGAGAGTGGAAGATTTATTAGTCTAGTACAACTTTTAATCCAGCCTGAAGATATTTGCCTAATAATGGACATATGGATGAACAAAGTCTCCCACACTGCTGCCTGTCTACCTTCTCCTGTACCCCAACCTGGAGCAAGCCAAACCAGGCAGGGGAGAGGGTCTGAACCCCAACCATGCCAGCACCCCCTGGAGCTAAGCTTTAAATCACCAGCAGTATCCTAAGCCAGCAGACAGACAGCCAGTAAAACAAGGCTTTCAGATAGACAGCTATAGATGGGAGGACATGTTTACTTGGCCCAGAGCGGGCTGAGATGGGAGCAATGTTGGGGAGGGAGACTGAGGGAGAAGAGGAATGGGAGAGTGGCTGCTGATGAGGTTTCTGCGAAGATGGATCTGTGGAAAGGGAGTCAGCAGCACCAGAGACACAGACAGGCCAGAATCACCAAGAATGGTGTCAAAACACAGACACGCATATGTGTGCACACAATGTCATGTAGGGTAAGCTCACATGTACAGCACATTAAAGGGTTGGTTCACCAAATAAAATAAAAACATTTTTTTTTACATTTACAAATCGTCTCTATCCATGCTGACTGTTGCATTTTTATGTGCTGAGGTTTTGAGATGTTCACCACCACCGCCCCAATACAAGTGAATGAAATTTTGTTTTTGTTGCACACATGACGTTTAAATATTCACAGAAAACCTCTCTTTCCAAAAACAATGTTACTCATGATTCTTTACAAAACCCAGTGTGATCGGTTTTCAGTGGAGCAACTTTCTACTGAAAAAAAAAGACAAAAAGTCACCAAAATAAACTGTTAAAAGTGTGTTCTGTGGATTATCCAGTGTAATGGGAACATTACTTTTGGAAAGACACGTTGCTGTTGAGTGCATTAACTGTTATTTTTAAAGCTGTGAGCACCACAAACAAAATTCCATTCACCATTTATTCCATTAATTGTATTGGGGTGGGAGCAGACATGCATAAATTCAGCGATCTGAGTAGGTGAGAAAATATGTTTTATTTTAAGAAATACTGACCCTTTAAAGAGTACCAACATGAACAGAATGCACACCCCTCTATATGTCTTACTTAAGAAGACTTTGAAAGATTCCCAAAATTTGATCCATTCAGATTTTGCTATTGTGGAGCCAAGCCTGCTGTAATGCTCTTATAATCACAACACTGACATTGTATAGATTCATTATAATTCAGCTGGAGAGTTATGATCAATAAACAGTAAATTACCTTTACATTAGCTCCTGAGGTGAAGGCTCAAATCCAAACAAAACTAAAACAAAAAATGTTAACTGATAGGATCCAAGTGGGGATTCGCTTGTAAGAGAGGATTGTAAAGATCTTGAACTTTCTATAAAAGATCTGAGCACACTGTATGTATACGCACACGAACAGACAGTGTAATCTCTGATGGGTGATATATCGGTGCATGCACTCCCATTATTTGTTAATACAGGGCAGCTACAGTCCAGCTCCACAGCGTGTGCATCTGTGTGTGTGTTAAATGAGATTAGACTGTCTCCCATTCATCAGGGGAAAAGCAGATTCTCTGCCTCCCTCCTGCTCCATGTCGGGAGCTGGTTTAGCGGGCCAAAGCCACATGTGATTTATCCAGCAACCTCACCCACCAACTATTCTCTCCACACAGCTGCTGAGAATCAGCAGCCCAATACATTTCACACACACACACACTTTCACAAACACACCAAAGAGGGTTAGTGAATCAGAGAGAGGGAGAATGAAGAAAGGAAAGATACAGAATGTACAGATTCTAAATACCACTGGTGAATATGTGCTGCATACATCTGCGTATTGTTTATTTATGGACACCCATTGTGTGGGTAACTACTCCTGTGTGTTCATGTACATCTTTCTAAGAATATTTTCTATTTTATACATAATTTCAACACTATTTTGCCTATTTCTTACCTATTTGCATGACCCGTCCGAAAACAGAGGAGTTGTCCACTGTGCTGCAGTTCCAGCGCCGATGTCTGAACTGGTACTGGCACTCTCTGATGCCTGTCTTGGCACCTTCACCGATGTACTGCATGTGGTCCTGGTAGAGCTGGCACAGCTTCTTCTGGCCCTGCGACAGGCCCACCAGCTGGCTGCACAGAGGCTGGGCACCTATGATGTAGGCCTCAGGGATCAGTAAAGGGTTCATGGCCAGAGACCTGGATGAGGGGGACACATATTGCAGTTGTTTTCACTCATTATGCAAGTTTTCAGGCCAAATTCACAATCAACCGTGGATTTCTCTTGATTAGTTTCCCCCTTTCATGGATGAAGCTATGCTGATCAGAGAAATGAGGTGCCGTTATTTATTGAATGGATTAAAACTCTGCATACTCTTTCAGCTCTCTATGACACTGGTCATGTGCTATTTTGGGACATGGCCTTACTGCAAATAGGGACAAGTGAATACAAGAAGGAACAATGGAGAAAATTAGACAATACCGTAAAATAAAAAGTATTCAGTGTCGTAACCTTTTTTACCTATGACCCCCTCATGACACGCTGCATATTACGTCTATGAGATTAGACAAAAAGTGATGTCCCCGCCTCTGACTGTTTCATTTTTAAAGTTTTTAGAGGCCTTAGTATTTTACGTAGTCTAAAGGTCTAAAAAACTAAACATCAGTTGGTGCGGCAGAAATGCGGTTTTGTCCCTTCTCAATCTGTTAAAAAGCTAGTAAACCCTTTCGGCTTTATCTTGTGACCCCTTAGAGTGGTCCCGAGTCATATTATGCCAATTGACAAGAAAGGTTTTTGACATTTTTGCTTAAGTGCATTACATGATGACCACTTCTGTCACGCAGACTCAACACACTGAGTGGATAATTCTGCGCTATGAAAGTTATATACCTTTTTACAGTACCACACAGGAAAAAATCTGATCTTTTCAACTTAAGTAACAGCTCAATTCAATAGAAAGAGGGATACAAATGGAATGAAAGACAGAGAGACAGGGACAAACACAGTAGAAAAAGAGAGAGAGGAACACTAGTATGAGCATCTGGTTCCAGGCCACAGGACAATTAGAGAAGCCCATCCCTGAGCCCTAAGAGAAAGACAATTAGCCCCCAGTGTAACCTGATCGACTAGGGAAACTCAGCAGCGAGGGAACACAGACTGAATACACACAACATACACACAAAGTACACACATAAGCACATAGGCGAAAAAAAAAAAAATCAACATTCACACTGTTCGTGTGCTCAAACACACATGCAGACTGACACCCACACACACAGTCAGCCGACCCACTGCTCCGACAGTCTAAATCATTCACACCTGTGTGTCCTCTAAAAGAGGAAGCTGAAAGACACACACAGTCTGTGCTCCAAACTCAGCTTTCCAAAGGGTCTGCGGTAATGTGTAACGAGTCCTCAGCTGTGTCCGTAATCCAGCTCATTATTTGAACTTGAGCTGAGCCCATTAAAATATGTTTATCTGTATAAATCCTCTTCAACTTATTTGTTTAAATTATTATTCTCGAATAAAAATATGATAAAATCTTACACTGAAAGTGTGGGTTTCCTGTAAATACTTATTCTACAAGCACTCAAATTGGAATACGCAAGTGCACAATTAGACAAAAACACAAACAGCCACAGGATGCAGTGAGTGGTGGTTTGCTTTAAGTAGTGCTTCTATGGCGACTGGTAAAGAGTACTTTCCCCTATCAGAGGTACTGTGTGCGTTTAAGTGCTGCATGCTCAAATATAGACTTTTCTAATAGCAGCAGGACGAGTGTCCACACACAAACGCACTCATGCACGCGCAGTTACACACGGTGTTCGTGTTTGCACATATTTGGACGCCGACTCATAAACCACAGAATTCTATGTTTTCTATAATATTCATAATTTTGGTTTGGCAATATGTGAAGAAAGAAAATAAGGGAGAAAAAAGGTCTTCCTGAAAAGCTAATGTGCTACAGTCAGCATGTTGTGTTACTTCATATGTGGTGCAACTGAAGCTGAGGAGGCTTACTTAGCAAACACGCACACTCGCTCTCTCACACAAGCCTGAAATTGAGTCTGAAACTAAGTAAAAGATAAATATAAACACTAACAAAATGTTATTTTAAAAATCAATATAACCCCAAATCTTTGGCTTTTTTAATGTCTTTTATACTCTTTTTAGGCACTGCTACCTGCCCCATTTACAAATGTGACTCATCTATGAGTGTAAAGAAAAGAAAATGCCCTTTGAGAGCTGACAATCTCTACTGGCCATATAACAAGCAAACATGCACAAAAACACAAGTTAAGGCACACACAGGAATACTGTATGGACAGAAAATAATATAATAATAATAATAATAATAATACATACCACCATGAGTTGGCCTCCACCACCACCTGCATGAGGAGTGTGAGGAGTGTGAGGGCAAAGACACAGTGTCTGGAGTCCAACACGCTGCCAAAGGGCCAGCAAACCGGCCGACACACACAGCCCAGCCCCAGGTTCATACTGCCGCTGATCTGAGGGAGGACAGAGAAAAAAAGGATGCATGTTGGTCTGCCTGGCTGTCTCAGTTTATTGTGCTTAATACAGAAAATGACAGATCTGTGATTTCAAAATGTATTAAAGGGAATGGAGGAAAAATTTGCTCTTTTATAGGAAAACAGGACTGTGGTTGTGTGTGTGTGTGTGTTGTGTGTTGTGTGTGTGTGTGTGTGTGTGTGTGTGTGTGTGTGTGATGAGAGCCCTGAGGCCACAGCAGAGCAGTCATTTGGCAGCAGGTCTGAGTGTGAATCATGTAAGACTGATAGACGTGCAGCCGGAGAAGACACAATGACCATGAAACCCCATCTAGACACATTCCTGACAGTTCACTTTACTCAGAGAAAGAGACACACAAAGGCAGAGACAGGCAGATAGAGAGAGAGAGGCCTAGTCAGACAGAGTATGTATGTGTTATTTTATTTTAGCCTACATATTTACTGTTGACCTAAGGGTCAAAACTAAATTGTCCCAATTTTAACCAACAATTAAGATTACATTTTTAATGCAAAGAAAACAAAAAAATTAAAAAACTGGAGCTGGAAATTGAATACATTTTGTTTTTATTTGATACTACTTTAGTTTTTAATCTATGGCAGTCGTGATTGTATTTGTTGCTGGTGACAGGATTTCATTTTCTTTAATTATGCAAATAACTAACACCCTTGAAAAATAATAGACCTAATAAAATTATTATATAAATTCGTAAAATTCGTTTACATGGTAATTCATTTGAAACATTTTAATAGGACTTAAAAAGGGGGAATTTATACAAAACATGGAAAATGAAAAAATAAGTTATAATATATATTTTTAAATGGTTTTCTTTGGGAATTGAAGTAGGCCTATATTACAATTAAATTTGCAATTTATTAAAAAACGGGCACGTCGGTCCATAATTATATCCTCTTTAATGTCCATATTTATTAATTGACTCTGGACCGGACAGAAATGAGCCACGTCAGCGGATGGTCGTCCACGGCCTGGTTGTACTGTGCAGCCTTTTGCCTAACGAAAACTACAAAGAATTAAAAAACAAAAAGAGGGGGAAAAAAGTCAATTATGTGCAAACAACTGTGTGGCTTTGGTGATACATTTTGGCTGCTATGTAGGCAGAAAATAAGCTAAAATAATTACAGCCTAAATTTGCGAGTTAAACCGATGTGCCAGCCTTCCAGTTGGGCCGTGTGTGAATTTTGGGACTCAGAGCAGCTCTAATTTGTCACGCTGCGTTATTTTCCAGGGTTGAGTCGTGGAGACCCGGGCCTGCCTAATACTCATTAAAGACAAGGCCAAGTTCACCATCACTCACCCAGCCAGCGCGCGCGCGCACACACACACACACGAGCATGTGCTTTCAGTTTGTGCACTGCTTCAGTAATAGTTGGTGAGGTTATGTTATGTTCCTTGTAGTTCTTCCACATAAATTAAAGCAATAATCCACCGAGGGCGGCGGTTTTACACTGATTTTAAACCAGCTAATTGGAGCTGTTGCGCCATCCAGGAAAGGATTTCAAATAGACATTTTAATTTATGGATAATTAAGTTCTACAATTAACAAATTATTATTTTTTTGCGCCAAGCAGTGCACTTGAGGGGGAGAAACCCAACAGCGGAGGGGTGGCAAGTGACACACACAGGTTTCATTCTGCTTATTCTTATTTAAATTAACTGTCACGAGGCCACAGGTGCATGCAATTATCTGACATTCCACATCTGAGTCTCAGCCAATCAGAGCAGAGAACAGTAATTGTTTTAAGAGACAGAGACGCGAGTCTTTTGTTTTTTTGATGAATATGTGTTAATACGGGTTTACTCTTTCAGTGGCTGCAGCTATAACACGCTGTACATGACTTTATTCTTATTTATTTTCCTGTTCTTGCGTTTGGCATCCCCACTGCAGGCTGCGTAAACCGTGCGCTCAGTGACCCCTGGAAACGATTTGACCCGAGTGAAATATTCATAGGACTTGACTGGATGACTGACGACTACCTTGCTGATTTCTGTCGGTGAAAGTGGCATCAAATTGGGCAAATTTCAGGAAGAGAACAATTAGAATAGGGTCGACAGGATGATAAAACATCGGGCGCTGCTGTTGCAATGGATCATTTACGAGGCTGTTTTAACAGGCCATGTGGGACTAAACCGATTCACATTAAACCCGAAGAGTTAAAGAAAAATAAGTAGTCAACAGTTTTTTAAAATGAGAAAAATGTATGAATTAATTATTTCACCTTGGGTTAAATTTAGGCCTTTGTCTGGTCTCAGTTTGGGGTTTTCTCTGACAGGAGCCTTTGATAAACAATCTAAAATGTTATTGGAATTAAATAAAAAAATGTTTTGAATAACCATAGCAACGACTGATTGTGAAAAAGTGAAGGGAAATATAAGGCAATATAGTGCCATGAGTGTCAAATAACGAAAAGCATTAATGAATGACTATTTCTAAGCGACTGTATTTACAGTATGGCCTTCATCACCATGCTTTTGGATAATATGCATGTTGACATTAATTAAAGTTTTTCAAATTTAAGAAGGGCAAAATAATATACCTAAATTATAGAGCAATTAAATACAATAGTGTCACCGCTCAAACTGGCGCCCATAAACTGACTATTAAGTGAAACATTATCCACAGTTAATAGCGAAAAATGAGTCTCTTTTCCTGCCTGTCCTGTTGTTTAGAAAAAACCAGGAGAGGGAGCCAGGTACAAGGATTTGATGAGGAGAAGCAGCACAAAGAACCCTGCCTGACTTCAAATTGGGACCGTTAACAATGGGAAGAGAAAGCGGACTGTTTTACCTAATTTATATGAATCTTAAACATAGAACTTTTGCTTAATTTTCACTGAATTCATTATTTGCCCAGCAGGACACTGACATATAGTCAATGCGGGGAGGAGAGGAGAGGAGAGGGGGTCTTGCATGTTTCACACATCACATCTGTCAAGAACTTCTGTTCACATCCAAGAACCAGTATTAGTCCAAAATGGTCCCACTAAAAACCACGCATTTTCCACTCTCTAAGATAAACTGCGGCTGCATGGAAAAGTGAGTGAACCAGGAGACCTATAGGCTACTCACCAAGGAGCACAGCCCGTTAGAAGTTGTAATCCACTTTCTGCAGACGATACCAAACCAATAATCCCAGTGCAGGCCAGGTGGATTAAAGATTTCCTTTTCCGCTGCAGTGAAGACAAGTCTGGTAGTTTTATCCGGATTTCTTGGAAAGTGCTTGGTTGGGGTGAAGAACGCGTAAAAGCTACAGCTGAGAGAGTTGTTCAGATTTGGTGTTTTGGTGAACACGGACGACCAAC